CACCAGCATACATTTGATGTAACATGCTTCCCTAAAGCTTACACATGAGTATAATTTACGCTGTCTGTATGTACTTCCATTATAATGTCAACTGTACATGAGTGGGATCACCAAGAGCTACGCTCGAACTCTCAAATGCACACAGGGCCAGATGGAGGAGGTGGGATGGTGGCAAAAAGCAAAGCGACGAACCTTTGGTGTCGACTTTGCTATACGGAACGATATCTTGGGACGACTGCCTTATCTGCCATAGGGCATCAGTGACAGATTCGTGACCCTGTGCCAGCCTCTTCGAGAATCCAGGTTCACCATTACCAGCCGTGCCTTCGCTCCTCCAATGACCAGCTATAGTGAGGCAACGGAAAAATTCTACGAGGACCTGCACGGCCTCATGGCACCTATACCGAAGGCGAACAAAGTGGTTGTCCATAGCGACTTCTACGTCGACGTAAGGGCAGATTAAGTTGCCCACGAAGGGGTGCTGGGCCTTACCGATCTCGACAGTGGATTCATTTTTGTGAATCCCCGCGGAACAGTGCCTCCTCTTGACCAACATCTTATTCCGATTTTTGATGCGTGAACAGCCAATGGGTATGCACCTCCATTTGCGGCACTGGCAGCTGCTGGGTTACGTTCTCGTTCGAGACCGAGTTCGGCAGAGCCCGCATGTGCCCAAGGCAATCTGGGATGTCAATGGCCGGAGGGATGCCTTTCCTAGCACGAAGAGAATAGGGTTTTGACTACAACCCTACAGGAGACCACAAGGTAAGCGCCGTGAATCGCGATGAACGGTGAAAATTTAATCATAAATTCGGCTGTCTTGAATGATTCACGCAAATGGTAGGTCAGCTCCATGATCTAGTAATAAGGTGCGGCAGTGACAATGGGCAGTTTTAAAAGCATTTGACACGAACAGCGGAATGGAGTAGGGCAACACACTTGTTCCAATCAACTTCAGCCTCATGCGGTCTGTCAGGTTGACGGACGCTCACCATGATGAGCAATCTAAGATCCGCATCGCCTACAGGATTAACGGGCTCCTTCCCATTGGCCGGCGTATGCAGGCCCCAACTGGTCTATCCACGACTTACGTACTCAACACAGAGACAAAAGAGGATATGCGAAGGAACAGTGACCACATCGCCGCCGGTGTCGTTAACTTCGGAACCACCATAAATGAGAACAGAACGATTTGAACAAGACAAAGATCACGAGATTAGCAGGATTTATTGACGTCATATAATTTCGCGACCTCTTATTAACTACAGACGGTCGTTGCCTATTTATAAGATAATCAACTGTCCAATTAAGTGTTGATCTTGAAGGGCGAAAGTTGATAGGTGAAGAGTATAGTACTTGAACATGAAATAACTTGAACTGCCATGCTGTGACAACTACCTCTCCCCTCCTCAATCACCTCAACATGCGCCCACATCTAAGACTAATAGCTTCTACTCTGTTTACCTATCAAGTTTCACCCTTCAAGATCGACTCTTCATTGGACAGTTATTTATCATATTAATAGGCAACGACCATTTGCAGTTAAATAAAAGGTCGCGAAATTATATGACGTGAATAAATACTGCTAAACTCGTGATCATTGCCTTGTTCACATTTCTTCCGGGAA